TGTGGTTGCGCTACGGGTAAAGTAGAGTTAGTGCCACCAACCACACTACTTTACCTCTACTTTACCGTTACTGGTAGTGTAGTGACCCAGTGTTGTCACTACACTCAATTACACAACTCACCACCATGGCAACACTTCAACACTCAACAACACCAACAAATTACATAACTCACACTATACATATGTACATTGCAGGACAACTACATACACTCTCACACCATTATAGTACATGTATACACACCACTCCACTATCTTCTGACAGTTGACACACACAGTGTTCAAGTGTTGGTCTGGTACCACTCTGGATTTACAAGTGACATCATGCAGGTTGTCATGTCATTTTTTAATCTTCCTTGCAGCTGTCAGACTATCTCACACCACTCATGTAATACTCATCACCTCACCTTAGCTTGCAGACTAGTACATCACCTCATGTAAAATGCTACACCAGCATAAAACCCTCATGTAGACTTCTACAGTGGCGCGCGGCATTGTACTGTATAGGATTTTGGGATGTCCGAATGGTCGGGACCTAAAATTTGGAAAAATCTGAGTTTTTTTATTAATTTCTGGGGGGTTGAGACGTCAATCTGACATCCACGATGCTGTAATCAGTCCACCCGATGCACTTTTGACCATCTACATAGGCTTTAAGCTTATGTGTATGGGCTTAGGCTGACATATAGCCATATAAGTATGGGTTTATAGTGTCAGCCTATTCCATACTTATGTACTTAGGCCCCCATATTTGGCCTGTGACCGAATGGTCCGGTGAAAAAAAGATTTATTTTTTTTTTGGCTGGACCAAATTGGTCGCCCATTTAGATTTGGAATCTACACACCTTGTAGACTCCAAATATGTATTCTTTACAGGTGCTGGACCCCCGTCGGGGGTGAGGATTAACCCCGCGCGACCTAATCAACTTTTGCGGGTGGCCTTGTACAGTACAATGCCGCGCGCCACTGTAGTTCAAACTAAAATAACTCTTATGACATCATGTAGGTTGCTCAACCAGCCAAAATACCTCATGTACATGTTCTGACTAGCTAAATCCCCTCATTGTAAAGCTCTGGCCAGCTAAAATCTCTCATTCTCTTGTTCCCCTGAAGCTAAAATCCCTCACCTTTGTGTATGTAAGAGGCTCTCCTCTCAGTTGTTTTCCCCTCAGTTTAGTATCCACCTATTTCATACCCCCTACCCTTACAAACCCTTACATACCATTACATACCATCCCCTTACCATTGAAATATCAGCTAGACTCACTCTCTCACTCTCAAATCAACCTTTTTAGACCCTTATAAAACGGGGTTAAACCCTTTTTCCACCTGTTAAGCCACAGTTATCTTTTGATACACTCCACTATCACTTTATTAAACCTTCCAATCTGAGATTGGTGGGCTTGTCTAGTGTCTAGTGATCCAGGAAAGGCAGAGGTATCCTCATTCATCCCTTTCCACACTCAGCAAAAGGTTTTCACAAACACTTTTGAGCTTTACACCGTCGAGGTACTTGTACCTCGTCGACTGGAAGGACACCCTTCCAGTCGACGAGGTACAAGTACCTTGCCAGCTGGAAGGAAGCCCTTCCAGCCGGTCTGTCGCCGGCCCTTTAGAGGGCGGGTATCCGAGGATACCCACTGGGATACCCGCTGCGGCCAACGGATACCCGCTAGCGGGTGCGGGTGCGGATACGGATGTGCAATTTCGCTGAAATCGCCATTGGATATCCGCATCCGAACGGATATCCGGATGCGGACCGACCATCTCTAAATTGGATCGCTTGTGAGATTTCGGAAAGGCTGGTGGTGTTCAGGTTGGATACTGCAGAGGCGCTGCCCGTTGGCAAAGCTGATGCTGCTAGTTCCGCACAGTATACCTGGACAGCTGTGAAATTTGATGATCTCTTGGAGTTATGGATCATTATCCTAGTGAAGCCAGCTGGGATTTTGATCAGCAAATCAGCTTGAAATATGCTGATCAGAACTAGTGTGCTTTTGTCTTGGGTTGCTGCTGATTGATCAACTCGAGAGGGATATTGAAGTTGATATCTATATAAGAGTGCTCAGCCTTACTACAAAACACACCTCAATTTTCCTATGATGTCTCAAGAATAGCAACCCTTGTGAGCCCAGAGCCTCGAGCCAGGTACGTGATAATGTGTCGTTTTGGGGAGGCTTCAGACACGGCTCTGATGGAAACCCATAGGCTTGATTCAATAGCCTTGTCTGATGGGTTGAGTGATGATGAAAGTCTTGTTTTTTTTGTCGTTCAGGAATGTGTGTGTGTCTCCAGATGATGATGATTGCAAAACACCGAATGAGCCAGAAGACGCTAGAGATGGGCGATTTGCATCCGGATATCCGCGCGGATGCGGATATCCGGCTTCTTTTTCCGGCCAACTAGGCATCCGCATCCGCACCCGCACCCGCTGGCGGGTATCCGTCGGCCGCAGCGGGTATCCGAGCGGGTATCCTCGGATACCCGCCCTCTAAAGGGTCGGCTATTCTTTTTTTTTCACTTCGCGCGAATAACTGGGATTCTCCGAGTTTGTTCGCCACCATGGCTTCCTAGTCATATAGACAATACTAGGTGTCCATGTTGACCTCAGAGATTGTGCTCTATTCCAATAATAATGGATACATCAAGATCGATGTGTATATCACTTTCTTAAGTGAAAATGATTTTTTCTTATTCCACCATCATTTTCAATTTCTCAAGAAGGGCCCAAGGATTGTAGTCAACTGCCGCTGAATTTCTCAGTCTCAGCATGCTTCACCTGAATTCGCCCTACTGAAATCCTTGTAATTTCTAAAAATTTGAAGAGCGTGCCCTTTAGCAGTAATGGGGGAGATGCGGATCTGCCTCGACCAAAGGAAAGTAGAAGCAGATCGGCTCAGCCTCAAATTATGGCGGGCAGCTGGGTGTTGTAGAATCTCAGCAGTGGCATCGAGTCCCTTTCAGCAGCGATAGTCTCTGTTGATATTCTCATTGACACTCAGCAGGTGCTGCATCTGCTCGGCGGCAATAGTGAACAAGAGGAGCAGCTTCGGCTAACAGAAAGCAGGAAGCAGCGATTAGGCTCAGCTTCCAAATGGCGACAATATAAATAAGCCGGAATTTTCACTGGTTTACTATATCTCACCAACCATCCCAACTTCCCATACTCTCCTCCCCATACTATCGCCCCTCTACCTAGCCCAGAGATCAAGGTAAGAAATTCTCTCCAATCCACAGCTTGGCTTTCCTGCTGACCCCGCACCCTCGGGACTCTTTGATTCTCTGGTCATCTTTTAGAACTAATAAAACAAATCACTAAATAGCTCTCAGAATGGACGAATCAATCCGACCTGAAGCCGCGCAAGCAGTTGGTGAGTGATGTCTTGCAGGGAATTGTTTCTCATAAAGTATCAGCCACATACTGACAGTACCACTTGCTTTACTAATTTTCAAAGATCTGCTAGACAGGCACGACCGCGCCTGTGAGGACAAGGGCTACCGCCGCGTCCTCAAAAAACAGAACGAGAAATAGCGCTATGTGAACACCGAGTCCAAAGTCTTTAGCTTGAGGGAAATGGTCTCAAGGGAGCTTGGACTCAATGTTTCTGTCAGCCACCCTAGGCTTTGGTACCGGTCTACCTCGACGGCTGGAAGGAGACCCTTCCAGTCAACGAGGTACAAGTACCTCGTCAACTGGAAGGACACCCTTCCGGTCAACAAGGTACAAGTACCTCGCCGGCTGGAAGGATTTCCTTGCAGCCGGTCCGTCGCCGACCCTTTAGAGGGCGGGTATCCTTTGGGATACCCGGATACCCGCCAACGATTTGCGGAAAAGGGGCCATCCGCACCCGCTGGCGGGTATCCGTTGGGCCCTGGCGGGTATCCGCCAGCGGATAGCGGGTATCCGCAACGGATACCCTTTGACCATCTCTAGAAGACGTTGAAAGTGCAAAATGTATTTATTTATCTTGTAGAGTCTAAGCCCAAGGTTATAAGTTAACCATGTGACTTGCTGAGCTCTATGTAGTCTGATCTGTCGTGTCATAGATTGAGTTGTTGCTGCTGCTGACGTAGCATGAGGATTCACTTTGACTTGAAACATCTGGGTGACGCTGCGGGCCACAGCAACAGCTAATTGTCTGTAGTGAGATGGCACCGAATCCACATCCATAGACCAAATTTGCACTTTGGAGCAAGCCATTTCACACCTCTTTTGATGATCAAGTGCATTTTTGGAGCTTTTTTGACAATCACTACCCTGCACTTTTGGAGCGTTTTTCGACGATCGACTACACTTTTGGAGTGATTTTAGACCATCGACCGCATTTTCAGAGCGTTTTTCGACCATCGACCAAACTTTTGAAGCTTTTTTTGACCATCGACCACCGGCTCCAATCAGGAATTGTAACTCAAAGTGTCCAATGGATACACTAAAAACCGTCATCCATCGGACACTCGGTTGGAGAGTGTCCGATGGACGATAGATCATAGCGTCCATCGGACGCTTCATATTTGGCCAGCGTCACTTGGATGCTTTTGGAAGCATCCAAGTGATGCTGGCTCGCCAGAGCGTCCCTCGGACGCTCTGATCGCATCCGTTGGACGCTCTCCTCAGGAAAGCGTCCAGCGGATGGGGCCAGTTTCAAAAAACTGGCCCCGTGGTGTAGCTTTTTCTTCCGTGCTCATTGAAGAGGCCGGGGCCCAAGTAGTAGATCAGATTTCAATTTCCAGGCTAGGCTGGTGATGCTTCAATGACAAACAGATAGATGTTGGAAGGCTGCGTTGAGTGACTGCTGAGTCGTGAAGCATGACGTTTCCACTTTTAGCGATTGTCTCGGTCCAGCTTCATTTTACAACCGGCAAGAAGTTCTCTATGACTGAACCGGTGTATGAGTGAGGGCAATGGGCTCTTTGCAGCGACAAACTTCTCTGCAGGCTTGAAGTCGCATGTATGTGAATATAACGCTCTGCTCGGTGATGGTTACTCCCTAAAAAGACTGTTTGTTGACCATCTTGATTGGAGGTCGTAGGCTCGGATAACCTTTCGACATGGCTTGGCTGAGCACAACTTAAGTGGACTATCGACATGGCGGAGAACTCAGCAAGTTGTAAACTGCCTTGTCTCCCAAAGTTACCATCGTCGGCTCAACCCCGAGCAAGGCGGAGGTGATCGCAGAGCATTACCAGAGCATGTGGCCAGCTGAGATCATCTCGTGGTCAACAGGGACATCAATAAATAGCCACCCTGCTGCTCGTTTCCCCTCCAGCACTACCACCACACCCACGCCCAATACTCCCTCATCCCCTTCAGTATAGTTTAGTACAGTACCCTTCTTCACCAAGCTTATCATCATCTTCTCGAAGTTCCTGGGAGAACTCTAGAGGCCAGCTTGTAGTAAGAAAACCAAAAACAAAACTTTTTTTAGAACAAAAAAAACAACAAAAAAATGGCCTTATCGGATATCCGGATGTAAGTGATATTTTGATTTCGAGGGCAAGCATCCGATGTTGACGAGTTTCGAGTTTATTCGAATTGGTGACCCAGATTTCGTCTACTAGTCCAATTGGCTCTGATGACACTTTCGCTGTCAGTCATCGGTCTATGCATCAAGGCCATGAACGAATTGGCCGAAGATAGGCGCAAGGTCGCCAACCTGTTTCCCTTGGGCAGAATCCTAGCTAGACCGATTGTTGGAGTGGGAATCGCACTGGTCATCACTTGCATTGGGATCATTTTCGTGGCGGTGAGATTCCATCGATTTATCTGGCAGTGGAACGAACAAAAATAATAATTAAGCTGCTTTGACTTACATGCTTTTTTGCCTACCCCCCATCCCCCCATGATCGATATAACTCTCTAGATCCTCAACTCGATATATATCTTGAAGGACAGATTCCCGCAGGCCATCCGGAAACGCTGCCCACAGTCAATGAGCACTAAGACGATGTCCGTCTTCGCCGTCATCCTCACCCCGATCAACATCGTCCAGAGCTATCTGACAGCTGGTCAGAGCTCTCGAGTGACCTCGAGCGTTGTTTCCGAAGCGACCATCGAGCAAATTCTTGAGTACACCGGACGAAGTTTGCGGTACAAGGATATGGTAGTCGTCGTCGATTACACCGTGATCTCCTGGATCATCTTGCTCCTCCTCATCGTCGGGTCCGTACTTCATTCATTCATTTCTTCCCCCATTCTTATCGATGCTGACTTTTCCTTCCCTTGTTGTCGATACAGAATTGTCATCGAATCCTCTAAATTTTCTCGACCCGAATACGGGGATACCACGAAAGAGCAGCTCAGCGCATAAGCCAAGACTGATTCAAGAGAAATCAGATAGGATTCTTCTTTAACCGTCTGTAACAACATTACAAGAACAGAGTATCCATTTACCCACGCCCCCCCCCAAAAAAAATAATAATAATAATAATCGATTTTCTTATTCTTATCTTCTGTTGGTCTGTGACTATCCCCATATCATTATCAAAACTATCTTATCATTTTTATTGAATTTGTAGCCTTATTTCCTTAAAACAAACAAAATGTAGACTAGATGTTTTTTATTTTGTTTGAACTTTCTCTCGATCACATAAAATGGGCATTAATACAAAAAACGGGTTTTCCGCGCCTTCATACACCGGCGTTGTGCCATAGAAGAATTGCAACAGTTGCACAAAACACTCAGTTTTCTAAGTGTACACACTGTTTAAAAGGGGCGGGAGGGAGGGAGGAGGGCGTGCAATAATCATTGCACCGCTGTTTCCAATTCCCTAAAATTATCATTGTTGGGGGGACTAGGAGGTATTGCCATTGAATATCATGTTTTTTTTTGGAGAATGAAGAACAGGGTTTTTTAAAAACATGTATCTAGTCAGATGATTTTTCCAAAATAAAAGTATCATTTTCATCATGATAGCAGTGATGATCTCAACTAATTTGAAAGAGTAGAATTAGAACCAATTCAAAATTTGATCAAGAAGAAAAATCCGACAAAATTTTCCTTTTTTTGCATAAAGATCAGGTTTGATAATACATTGAATAAAACTGATAAAAAAACATTGAAATGATTATACTGATACAGTCACTGACTAACAGATGGTAAAAAGGAAAATTAGTAGCATTATATGGGGGATAAAGGGGCGTTTCCAGTGAATTTTATGTTTGTTCGATAATAAAAAATAAGATCAAAATCACACAACATTATTTCTCTTGCCAGAGTCCTAGATTATGGGCCAAGTTCCTCTTTTTTAACATCACTATATGCGGTGGGTTGAGAATATGTAGAGAATTCGATGGCAATCCTACATAGACATAAAAGAAAGGAAGGTTTTGGTGAAGGTTAATACAACAAAGGATCTGAGGAGGAAATAGATAAGAAGCAAATGAAAGACGGACCCGATGAGGAGGACGATCAAGATGATCCAAGCAATCACGGTGTACTCAATGATGACGACCAAGTCCTTATATGGGAGAGTTTGCCCTGTGATCTGGATGAGTGAGTCGACGACCGCGTCGGGAAGGATGCTAGAGGTTACCCGGCCGCCCCTCCTGATTGTTAGATAGGTTTGGAGGACGTTGATCGGGGTGATGATGATAGCGAAGAGGGACATGGTTATGATACCCATCGCCCGCGGAAAGCGTTTCCGGATGGCCTGCGGAAATCTATCCTTCAAGATATATATCGAGTTGAGAATCTGGATGGTGAGAGACAGGTAAAACATCCCAGTCAAAACAGTTTCATAAGTTTTATATAAATTTGTTCTCGGAAGTAAACATGAGATCCTCACCGCGACCACGATAATACCGGCGACAGTCATGTCCAATGCGACTCCAGCCGCGACGAGAAGGTTAACTTGAATCCTTCCCCGGATTGACACTGCTGCCGCGATCAACCGCCTATCGCCGGCCAGGTCGTTCATGCCTTGGATGGACAGACCGATGACCGACAGTGAGAGTGCTACCAGAACCACTTGGACAAACAGCCGAAGTCTGGTTCATCAATGTAACCCCAACCCCAAACTCGTCAATAACCGACACTTGCTTGGCCCACTCATCGAATGAAGTCAAAACATCACTTACATCCTCACATATACCCATAAGCCCATCTTTTTTTTCGTTTTTCGTTTTTCGTTTTTCGTTCTTGGTTCTTGTTTTCCTACTGCCGACTGGCCTGCGGAGCTCCCCCAGGAATCATAAGAATGTGCTTAGCTTTGGGAAGAAGGGTACTGTACTAGACTAAAAGCGGAAGGTACTGAGGGGGATGAGTTATAAGTTAAGTATGAGGCGTTGGTGATGATAGGGAAGACAGTTTCGGAGGGGTGGAGCAGGGTAGCTGACTGGTATTTGAGGTATCTGTTGAGTACATCATGGCAGATTTTAAGGGCACCGATGTTGAAGTGCAGACGCTCAGCCAGATAGCCGCATACCCCAGTAGTATTTTATGATTACTTCTGCCCTGCCCGGAGGTGAGCCGATAATTGGGATTTAGATCATAGGATGTGAGGGGGGAGGAAGGTGATGATATTCCTAGTCCTAGAAGTGCTGAATCTTCTTCCTCAATTCAGAAAGAGCAGGGGAGACATGTCCATGCGTGTAATCTCCAGTCAACCCCAGCCCTGAGGTTCTGAGGCATTGACACCTCACCTCTCTTCTACTCCGGAAGGCAGTCCCTGTCCCAAGTTGAATGATGCACTTTTAAATCATTTTTGAAGCCATGATAGAGCTTCTTTTTTTCAAAAGAAATCTCATTCACCTTGCGTCAACCAAAAGAATTTTGAGGTTGAAACTTTAAGTCTCTCCTGTGGAGACTGTCCTTTGGGAAGGAGGGCTTAGGAATCACCAATGAAGACACATATGTTAAGCTTGTCCAACTGGAGGGAGGTGATTCCATGCAAAGCCAACCCCCTGTCCCTAGAGGCTAGCATTAGACATTTTGGTGGGCTTTTTTTCCCTAGTAAATCTCACACATTTGCCTATGGCTGTGTTAATTTTCATGACCAACCAGCATCTTCCTACCACTTCCCTGGGTCCAACCCATCAGCTGGATGAGGAATCATTGACCTCAATTTTATGAGGCCATGGAAGATGCCATGTGGATTTTTTCATTGTGCTGGAGCTGTATTTACATGTAATACCATATTTTCCTCTTGTATATTTCATGCAGAATCTTTGTGGCCACATCGTACACCAGAGGGATGCAATCATAAGATTCAAACTTGAGAAAAAATCGGGGGACCTCACCAGTGTTAATTTATAAGTGCCCATCTACCTCTAAGCTTAAACTAGAGATGGTCGGTCCGCATCCGGATATCCGTTTGGATGCGGATATCCGATGGTGATTTCAGCAAAATTGCACATCCGCATCCGCACCCGCACCCGCTAGCGGGTATCCGTCGGCCGCAGCGGGTATCCGAGCGGGTATCCTCGGATACCCGCCCTCTAAAGGGCCGGCGACGGACCGGCTGGAAGGGTGTCCTTCCAGTCGACGAGGTACAGGCAGTTGGCGAGGTGCATGTACCTCGTCGACTGGAAGCAACGCTGCCACAGATACAGTATCTGCGCGTATCTGCCATGTATCACTATGTATCTGAGCACTAATGAAGAAATACTATCTGACCAATCTGCTTTTATTTGCAA